CCAGCACTTTTAATAAAAAAAAAAAATACACTATGCGAGTTCAAATGCACATAGTGACTCATCAACAACATCTTCATAAACTACTAAAACTCAAACTACTCGATGTCCTAGTAGTATCCACATACTTTTTATTCCCATTGTGTAGCAAGACAATGAAAGCTTACCTAACCAAAGAGGATAAGTTACTTAGTAAAGAAAGATGATTATAAATGTATTACTACTAATTTTCTACTTATTTTCTTAAACAATGACGGCTTTAAAGTTTTTACTCGAATACCCTTTTTGAAAAGGAGAAAAAAAATGCATTGTTTCTACAAAAAAGAATAATTATCCTTCTACGAAAGTAAAGAAGATTCGATTAGGCATTACAAGTTACAAAACCAATATCTTCCACTATAAATAAATGATGTAGCACCAAGCCATAAAATATAATAATTCAAAAGCATTGATCAAGCATGGAGTACTACACATTTTCTCAAGAAACCGACGAAGAACGTGGATCGGGAAAGCATCACCTGAAGAACACGTGGGTTAAAGAACGTTACGAGAGCGATGAAGAAGATGGGTCGAGAGAGGAACAAGTGAACAAACTTGTTCTAAGAAAAGAAGAAGATGATGATGGTGAAATGGTGACGTCATCGAGTACCGTGTTGACAAGTAAAGTGAGGTATCTCAACTATGGAGCTCTCAAACATGACTCGGCGCCGGCAGCTTACGGTGGTGGTGGAGGAAAAGTCATGCCTCCTCCGTCGAACAAGTACCACCGTGGCCATCCCAAGTTCTATAGATGCAGGGGTTGAAATGAAAAAGTCTCATTGTGAAAAAATAATTTCGAAGTAATATATATTTACATAAATGATATAATAAAGTTTGGTGAGTATGCTCGCTCCATGCAATATTGTGTTACGTACGTTCTTGTAATTCTTGTTGTGTTACTTATATCTAAGAGAGAAAATAAATTATAGAACTGATCATGATTATAAAGTTTGTTTTTAGTAGTTTAATCACTTGGCCTTGATTTCAGGTTAATAAATACCGTACCAACAGAAATCAAGCTTTGGTTCTGATTAGTAAGTGATGCAGCCTTAATTTCGAACAAACTGTTTTGCTAGTTTTTAACTGAATCAAGTTTCTTAAGTTATTCATTTTGCAAATTTTTACCATATGCAATTTTCGCAATACGAAAACATATTTTTCTCTTTAAATAAAAAAATACTAAAAATATATATATTTTCACAAGATTCTATAATAGTTTTTTATTTATTTATCAACCATTCGTAAAATTTAAACACCATGATTAGTTATCCAATTTTGAATGAAATTTCTAATAAATAAATTCCAAACAACTTAGAACGGACTGGCCAAACCAAACAATCGACCTTATGAATAAGAAAACGAGGAATCAAAAATAAAGAAAAACTAGAAAACATAGCTCGAAACTTATATGTGAGATTGGGTAAAATAAACAACTTTTCTAGACTGAGTGATGTTGACTCGTTATGAAGAGTCTGTCTCAAAAACATGGCAAAATAAATCCTTCTCTCCAAATTAAAGCACGTCATTGCCCACAGTAAAACTTTCCTCTCTGAATGCAGTGGTGAAAAACACCGTCTTTGGCCTCTCCCACCTAGGAAGACTGTGTGCTCTCTCCATGTGAACAAAACCAACCCACATCCAAAATCGAAAGACTCTTTCCACGAACTATAAAAAACTTAGGAGGATATTGTCAGGGCCGGCCCTGAATATTGGACTGCCTAACGCCTAAAATTTTTTTGATGCCCAATTTTATAAACACAAATAAAAAAGTTACTTATGATTTCATAAGCTAAGATTCGAACCCATCACCTCTTACTCACTTTGTCTATGTTTTACCACTAGACTACAAGAAACTTTTAAGAAATTGATGCCCATAAAATAAATAAGCTATATTGATGTCTAACACCGGCGTTAGGTCAAGGCCGGTCCTGGTTATTGTGGACATGAATGAGTTAAATATCAACAACACTAATACAAATTATCATGTTACATATCTTATATGCAGGTTGTACGTCGCGACGTGGTGGTAAGGGTAATCAAATTACTTTAAACGTGGTGGAATACATTGTCATAAGTAGTGTATATTTGGCTCTACTAATAAAAGTGTTCCAATAAGAATCCGGATTCATACTTTCTACCAAAAAAAAAAAACATTATAGGAAAGAAAAACGAGATGTATAAGTTTTACAATATGTCCTTAACATACTCATACATTGATCCGACATAATATACACACGTACTCAATTAACTAGTGCAATGTGTTAGGTGAAAAGTGCGGTCCCTCTAGTGCTACTCCCACTAAGTTTTATCTTTACAATTAAATAGAAATACTATTTATGAGGAAATAATCTCAATGTCTCACTCCATGCTTATTCATTGATTATATATCAAAGACTCACCTTCACAATTTCACTCTCTTCTCTCTTCAAGAAACTAACAAAATGGTGACAAAACCCTCTAAGATCTTCTTGACCATTACCATCATTCTGACCTACCTTCTTGCACACGCCACCTCCAAAGCATCATCTCTATGCAATGGCTCGGTGGGAGAGTGTAGAAGCGTGGTGGAGACGGAGGAAATGACAGTGAGAATGGAGTCGTGGTCAAGCCAGAGGTTGACGGAGGAGCAGCAACATAAGCTATCTTACGGAGCTTTAAGGAGGAATCAGCCTGCTTGTGACGGTGGCAACCGCGGTGAGTCTTATAGCAGCAAATGTCTTCCTCCGCCGTCTAATCCTTACAGTAGAGGCTGTTCTAAGCATTACCGTTGCAGGGACTCTTGAGGACCATTCATTCACCTTCATCATTTATGTCGTTTAATTGTATTATACTCACGTTCTTCTTCTTTTGTTGGTGAATTTGAAATCGTTTTTGGTTTCTTTTGAATCTCTGTTGTAACACTTACACTACGGATTTTGGGGTTTGTTTTGTTAGATCAAAAAAGTGTTGGGTCCAAAAAAAAAAAAAAGAAGAAGATTTTACTTTTCTCGAATCCAATTAGAGACAAAAACACAATCATCAACATCAGACCATTACCTAGTAAACATAGTTTGGTGCTTTGGTCTTAGTCAGAGATAGTACCAAAGTACAAAACTATGCATTGACAAGTCGATAAGATTTGAATGTTTTGAGTTTCTACCCAAAGTACAAAACTATGCATTGACAAGTCGTTGGACCACAGTGTAGCGACATTGAATCGCGGAAGAACTTTTGAGTTACTTGTACGAAAGCTTCCATACCTCTCTGACATTGGAGGAACCATCAGTGACTTCAGACACCAAGGTCGAAGCAAGAACACCTGCAATGAAGTTAAATCGATATGGTCTTAGTACATGGTTATGTTATCATTGTATATGATGAACAAACGCAACCCCTTGCTTTATTTGTATATAATCATCGAATAGACCATGCTTACCGTCTTTCTCAATCATAGACAAGAACTGCCTTGTCCCTCCTCCAACCCCGAAATAGTACTTCTTTGCAGCCATGTACACTGCTCCATCAGGATTGGCCAAGCACTGCAAAGAATCAAGAATTAAAACCTGCACCGAATCTTTCACAACACTCGTAAAAGTTCTGCTATCTACAAGAAAACAAGAGTGTACCTTTTTAATCAGTTCATAAAGACTTTTCTGTGCGGAGATTGAATATATTGTCTCAGCCATTAGAACAATGTCATAACAATCCTTCTTATCAGTATCACCATCATTTACTAGTGGAAGAAGCTGATGAACTTCACTCCACTCACCGGCAAAGAAGCGGACTTCTGTATCACCTACTGAGACAGAGGAAGACTTCTCGGACAGATTAGCGTTCAGATTCGGAATGGTGAGACATCGAAGAACCTCAGCATTAAAGTCTTGGAAATGAACGGCATCTGCACCCTGAAGGCAAAAGAGACCAAAGAATGTAGAAAGATCTAAGAACATGGTTATGGCCAGAGAGTATAATAGAGCTCATAAACACCAACTTACCTTGAGAAACGCATAGATTCCTGGAAGTGCATGACCACATCCAAGCTGAAAACCATAAATTCAATGACGTACGTAAGCAATGTGAAGCACAAGTGATACCTCGAGCGAAAAAACAGAGCCTACCTCGAGAACACGCTTTCCAGAAAACGATAAGTTTCCGGTTTGTGATTCTTTCTCAAGAGCTTTGACAAGATCAATTGATCCTTCCCAAAGCTTAAGCCCGCCTAGATAACATCGAATTTCGAGGATGATTACGATTATGGTTTAACACAAATGCAAAATGCAGGTGTTAACACATCACATAAACCATAACAAGAGTAATCATTCACCTTCATATACTCCAGGAACCAAATCCGAATTAGGTAATCCAAAGACCTCTTTAGTGTTCACACGACCCTAAAACCAAAGCAGAAACTGAATGATTTTCTTATGAATTTGAAGTTTTTATAGCATCTGAGAGTTTCAATTTCTCCATTTCTTCCTCAAAGCAGAAATAAAAACTCACCTTCGAAAGAGTGACCTCGCCGATAGTCACTTTATCGACTGTGAAATCAACGGAGGAAGACGACTACTGCGACGAAATCCACAGAGATCAAAAGAGGGAAAATCATAAGAAAAAAGACCAAAAAGGAGGGAGATGAAGTAGTAGCGACGTTACCTCGGAGGATAATACTTCAAC